TTGGCCTTCATCAAGCACACACCACAAATTCAACAGCAGTTTAGAGACACCAGCAAAGCAACATTTGTCACTGTCATATCATATTTATTAATATCAAACAGAGTAGAAGTTAAACATCAGCAAAAAAAACTACTATGTGATGTTGGCTTTGAATAGATAAGTGTAGAAATGTCAGCCTGTTATAGGGTAGAATTGTCATAATGTGGGATAGACTTTAGGATGGAGACTCATTGGCCAGATTCTTTCCACTCACTTGTCTTTGAGGAATGTAACCTGGTGGCAGGAGTGAAGGGGAATTGAGGGCTGGCCCATTGTTCACTTTCTTTTTTTAATCCCATCAGTAGCAACCACGACTAAAGCTGCACTTTCAGCGATCTTGTCCCAAGTTCTGGAATCACACCGTAAACCTTTCCTTCTCACGATGCCACTTTCCTCTTTCAGACCCTAGTTGAAACGTGTTTGTTTGACTGAGCTTTTACTCACCTATCGGAATGACTCCTTCTTTGGATCAGTGCCAAATTTCAGCAGATAATGTTCTTGTGATTCACTTTGAGACATTTAGGACATGAAAATGCGATATATGTGCAGGATGTTGTTGTAAGTGGTATCAGCATCCACCCCATAAAGTAAATCCCAGTCTATAATGTAAATACCTACCCCAAGCCCCTAGTTTAGGCAGGCAGAAATTTTACTTCACCTCACTTTTTACTCACTTCCAACAGCCGAGTGGAATCCTGAAGGTCTACACTTGAAATACCCAATTAATTAAAAACACAAAAAACAAGAATCTAGCTTGAGCTGGTTTGAGCTGCTGCTTTATGTACATGCACAGATTTGTGTTTTCGTACAACTTGTTCCAGCCCTATCATTGTTAATTTATTGGTTTCTGTCTGTAACTCAGAATGTTAGATTTGCTGTGTAATAATGAGCATAATCTCTACTCTAAATTAATCTATAGCCTATTCATTTTTAAAGCAGGTTATCACAGAGCAGTTCATAGTTAATATTCATTAAGGCTCCCAACATACTTTATACAGACTGGTTTTATCTGTATTAAGTCTTAATTCATATTAAATCTAAATTAATAGGTTTTGTGTCGCTGGAACTGGTAGGCAATTTGGTTTCATTAAAAGCCAGTATAATAGACATATACTGTTGATGTGGATTTAAGTCGATCTGCCATACAGATGCAATTTAGGCAGTAGACTTGAACAAAACTGGAAATTAGCACATTTAGTATTCTCAAGACATAAATACACATCGTTTTGTGTGAAGTGTCTACCTCCCTGGAATGTTAATTCTGATTAATAAATGGCAGAGCCAAGTTTTTTACTTAGCGAAGGCAAGCCATTCACTTTGGATATTTGAGCAAAGGATTAGGTCCCTTTTCTGGGCAGGGGGGCAGAAAAGGACCAGTTGTGCAAGGGCAATATCCCCTACCCTAAAAATGCCTAAAATACCTCCAGTGCCATGTTGGCTTTGGATCATATTCAGGCAGCTGTCTTAAACCTTCTGTCCCTTATGACTGTTAACGAGGGAGTTAAAGCCCAATTTGCCAAATACAAATAAAACCCTCTTCCAAATATTGGGCAGCTCGAAGCAAAGTGAGTCCTGTTGGGAATGTTTAAAAAAAAAATTACTCGTTCCAATGCCAGCCTTAGCCAACTCAGCATTTTTATTTTGGGATTGTCACATATTGTGCACTTCAGGAGCCTTCAACATTAATGCCATTCCTAATTCTGTATAAAGGCAGCCAAAGACCCAATTTGTTCTAGAAAGGGGAAGATGAAAATCAAAGTGGCTCATTTTCTGCTGAAGTTTCCTATTGGAGTTAATTGCTCCCAGCATGGCGCTAAAGTCATGAAAGTGGTAAGACACATGTTCTTCAGCCTCATTTTGAAAGGTGAAATGCCATTATGAAAAATTAAAAACGAAGCAAAATAAGATCATTGTGTTTTACTTTATGAAACTACAAGTAATTTATTGTTCTGTAAACTTCATGGATAAATGAAAACAATTATTCAAACTGCGCATTTAGACAAATAGTCAAAGGAAAAAAAGGCACATGTTTTTGGTTGAAGGATGGATGTTCACAGTTTTTTTTATTAAGCAACATTTAATTTTGTTTTGTAAGTAGAGCAGCTAATAGTGGATGAAATGCTGGCGCATGAAGACTCTTTTCTGTTAATTCTTTTTAGCTTTGTTAGTTTTTGGATGAACAATGAATCTTGATAATATTACTGGGATCATTTATCTGGATTGTTGAGTCCCATGAGCAAGTAAGCTGGTCATTATTCACAGTGGTACCATTAACCATGCCTGTCAGTTGTTTATGTGCACAGACTTACTTAAGTATAGGTATAATTCTTACGGCAGGTGCCTCACAATGTTGAGTTCATCTGACACTCCAAGTCAAAGATATCATTGTTATTCCCTGCTCAATCCAAGAAAAAAATGACAATCAACGGAAAGACAGAAATCAACAAAGCAGCAAATGAAAATTCCTGATAACGCTTGAGGTTTTTGTATGATCGACACTGTCAGTGACAGGAGGGTGGATATCTGTTTTGGAGTTAAATTATCAGCATGGATCATCTACCTGTTATACAATCAAATGACACTCTTTACCCAGAGAATGTTTACAATGTGGCTGAGACCCACTACCACAAGGAGTAGTGGAGAGTTAAAGCTCAACTGCATTTGAGAAGAGACATATGCATGAGGGAGGTTAGCTGAAATGGAGTGGAGGGAGGCTGATGTGACATGCATTTGCCAACATGGGGCAGTTGAGGTAAATGTCCTAATTTTGCTGTAAATATTAAGTACCTCCGTGTATTTTTTTTTCCCAATTAAATCAATGAGATGAGAGTCAAGCACTGTAACCTCACAAGATTACAGTCCCTGCTACCCACTTGCAGGGATAATGAAAAATTATGCCAATACCTGTACATCTTAAAGTTTCTGTACTGAACTCCTTGTAGCCTGATGATTTTCCAATGTTTCTATCACAGCCCATCACATTTTACATCAACATGCCCAGAAATACATTCCCATTCTGTCTCTTATTGGCCACTGTTTTCAGTTGTAAGGCTATTCTCTGACCTTTGCTCCATCACCCACAAGGTGTCAGAAGCAAACAGCAGGCAAAAGCTGATTTTTTTTCCATCAAAGTCATAAGGTAGTTCTGGTCATTTGGAAAATATTTGGACTTGTTGATTCCAATTTCAACACACGTGAAATGGATATGAAAATTTCACTTTTGTGCATATGGATAATTGGGCCAAGGGGTTCAACTGAGAAAAATGAATGGGTTTTGATCTGATGGTGCTTGTCTGAAATATCAGATTCCGACTACAACCTCAGTCCAAGCTTGACCAGTCAAATCCTTAACTGAGGTGGGAAGGTGGGTGTATGGATAAACCCTCTCCAAGATGATGATGAGAGCGCACTCCTCATTGTTGCTCTTTTGGAATGCATCTATTTTAAACATTACCATGGTGTGATGCCAGTTATGTAGGCCATATGTCCCAATGGTTAATGGACCATATCAAGCTGCACACCCTATTGATTCACAGGGGGCAGCATGCTCATCCAGCTCATTTATTAAATATTCCAGACCATGCTAAGAGTGACACTGGAAACCAATTTATGATTGTCTATCGAGCCCACAGTCAGATGCACTTGCCTGTGTAGAAGGTACAGAAATACAAATACACAACCCTGTTTTTAAGAAGTCAAAACAAACTTACGTATACATTAAGCCCTGACCAATCTACCTGCCAGGTCCTGAAAATTAATATTAGAGTTATTTGTTCATGCTGAATCTCCGTGTCAATTACAGCCCAACCAATCAGCTCCCTCTTCTCATGCTGCATGAAATAACATTCCTTATCTTCTAATCTGTTTCTTGAATCCTAGTTCTAATGAGGGCAAGACAAAATGACTCCTTTTTGCAATGTTGACGTTTTTTTGTACCATCAATAATGTAACTATTGATGGCTGCATTCCTGACATCTTGAGAAACTTGACAGCCACATCCAGTTAAGACTTCATTAGATACAGAAGATGAGAGTCTTATACATCCACTTGTTGGATCCAGCATGGCTGCCCAGGCAAAGCTGAAGATTTGACAGCTCTATACCCTGTCCACCCCAATCTTCCTGATGAGGCTCCCTGATTTCCTCCAACAGAGCACAGACTTCCCCACTTCAAGTTTCCAACTCACCTTTCATCAGGCAACCTTCCTCTTCCCTCCCCTATCACCTACCCCCAAGGTTTCCATTCGCTCCTGCCTGATGCTTGCAACTGTTACATCCCTCCCTAACTAAAGTCTCCAAGGCTCCAACTGCACCACCGCCCACTGCAAAAGAAAAGCCAGCTTCCAAGAACCGATACTTCCTAATTCAGATTCTGAACCGTTCACTCAATTCTTCAGTTTCATTCACTAAGGAGCAGCTCAGCTCCCTTCCACACAGTTAGCCTTAAAGACTCAATCTGCGCTGTTCGACTGTTTGGGCAACAGGAACTTGCCGAGCCTATGGATACAGTTGATCGATTGGTGACATTCCTTAAGCCCTCAAAACAAAATCCAACTGATCTCAAGCTGGTGCAAATAAACAGTTTGAAAAGAGTTTGTGGTGTGGAGTTGGCAGAACTGGTGGAGACATTTGTCTTTGTAAATCATTTTCTGGAGTTTGTTGAGGCTCATTTCACCATCCTGCACTAATCTGCATTTGTCAATGGAAGCCATTATTCTGTGAGAAAAGGAGGTGTTGCATATTATGGGGAAGGGAGGATGGAAAAATGGACTTAGCTTCTGTCACTGCTGCTTTGCTATCATCTATCTGCTGCCTGATCATAGAAGGAGGGTACTGGGTCTTCCCTCTGTGCAACCCTGATGGATGGCAGGTGTTGAGTTTCTGGCTAAAGTTGGAAATTGGGCAGAGGATACGGAAGGAATGCTGATGAACTCACATTGTGTTCTCTTTCCTATCCTGCAGGTAGCAGCGATGGCTCCTGGGATAAAGATAAACTGCAGTCTCCCACTGGCCCATCCTCACAGGGCTCTGTCAGTCATCCTCCCCTCTCCAACCAGCACAACCTCGCAGCAAACCACTCCCTCAACTCCCTGCAGCAGAACCACTTATTACCCAATGGTGAGGGCAACTTTCTGTGTCATCAGATGTCCTTGTACATGCCATTTTCTTTTATTTTTGTGAACCAACCCATGTTGAATAAGAATGGTGAACAAACAGCTCATGTAGCCCTGTGTTGTAGACACCACTGTATCATCTATCTGTCAAATGTTGTCAACAACTATTTGATCACAAAGCGGAGATTATTATCAACTGTTTCCAAGTGATATTCATTTCACGAATAGAAATCACAATTCAGATCTAAAATTTACTTTTAAAAGAGCAAATTGCAGATAGATGTATTTCATAAAGCAAATCTGCACTTTGTCTTTTAATTAATTATTTTCAGCATCACTACGCACCTTGGTCAGAAGATGATTCACCTCGCCACCCCTGATGCCATTCAATAGCAACCCCTCCCTCCCACCTCCCACAACCTCAGGAAGCAAAGTCCACCAGAAATAGGCTGGCTTTTTACAAGACAGCCCCACAGCTATAACGCATTGTGTGTGACATATATTGCCTATTAGTGGGAATTCTACCTCTCACTTGGGAGGAGTCCAGCCCTCAGAAGCTGCCAGTCAGCCCAATTGGCTAGCTGCTTCACCACTCCTGGTAGTGCCAAACCTCAGCAGTGGGAACCAACAGGAGTGCAGAAAGAGGGCCAAACTGGATCAAGAGGCGAGTCCTGGAGTCTTATGAAGGGGATGGATGCTAGAGCTTATGTTGGGGGCTGGGTTATGTGTGGGTGTGGAGCTAGGTTCTACTGAATGGGAGAGTGAGGTGGCATCTCTGGGAAGGTGACATTGCTTCCATGCACACAGGGTAACCCACGAATGACTGACACCACCACCCCGCCCCACCTCCATCCTTTCTGTATTGTTCATGTTTGACCTTTAAAAACAGGCTGTACATTCAGAGCTGCAACAGCCAAATTTCAGAGTGGACAAAACATTTATTGGGGCCTGTTGAGCTTTTCAGCAAATTCAGTTCACCCCTTAACCATTACTTACATATGTCAGGCAGACTGCCAATTTCAGTAACCATCCATGCTTCCTATATGAGGATGAATGAAGGGTGAATGGGAAAGTCATGGGTTGAAAAGAGATATTTCACATGCCTCCCCAACAAAATGTACTCAGCAAGGGGCATGTAATATCCAGCCTTTTTGTAATAGGACTTCACAAACATGGGCTTGTGAGAATGCAGGAGCTTGTAATAAATACATATCAATCAGAGCTGCGAAACCTATATAATAAAAACCGAAAGATCTGTGGATGCTGTAAATCAGAAACAAAAACAGAAGTTGCTGGAAAAGCTCAGCAAGTCTGGCAGCGTCTGTGAAGGAAAGATCAGCGTTAATGTTTCAGGTCCAGTGATCCTTCCTCAGAACCTTCCTCAGGCTTCTCAGGGAGGGTCACCTGACCCAAAATATTAACTCTGAATTTTTTCTTCACAGACATTGCCAGACCTGCTGAGCTTTTCCAGCAACTTCTGTTTTTGCTGTGAAACCTATCTCTTATTCTGATCCTTGCCTCTGCCGGTAGAATAAAATTTATGTCTCTTCAAATCCAGTTTTTTTTTTAAGTAATATTCAGTTTCAGTACATTTTCATTAATTGATTTTTGACTCCACACTTCTATTGACGTCGCTCAATTCAATCTTTCTGCAGAATCGGATCTGATTGTTACTTGAGCTTACTTGTTACTATTCCTTCAGATGTCCTTACTGAATTACACTGCCTTGTGTAAAATGGAAATTCTTGATTTTCATATTCTACCACTTTAATTTTGAACTCATGATCCCTGGAGTTTGGGGCCTTTGCAACAGTGAGCCAGTTTCTCAGGTTAAATGGTCTGAGGCTGAGAATTTTAGAGTAAGCAAACTCACCTCCTGACTTTCCAATGGCTGCCTGCCATTTGCAAGCTACAAGTCAGATGTGTGATGAGAGTACACTCCACTTGCCTGAATCAGTGCAGCTTCAACAGCACTCAAGAACTGACCACTGTTTTCGAGATGCCTCATTATTAATATATTTGAAGATTCATGTCCAAGAATTTTGACAGTGTTTCAATTGGAATCCTGAATTCATGTTTTTTTCAAAAAAGGTCACTAAGAGCACTTTGGGACATTTACATTTTATAAACTTCTTTGAAGTTCTTCTTCACATGGATCAAGTTAAATCCTTGGACTTGCTCATTGGAAATTCACATGCCCAAGTTTATGGCTTTGTCATAGATATTACTTGGAGTTCTGTTGGGGTGCTATCTAATGAGAGAGACAGAAGATACTCAACTCATCCTATACCTTTCTGAGCAAAGTCTTTTAGAGTGCTCAATGTATGATCTGAAAAACTGCAGCTATTCTCCTGAAAAGCCTCTGAATCATTGACATCTCCTGAATCACTGTGCTTAAAAGTCCCAGTGTTTAGTGCCAGAATGCTGACCAAAAGCGTTCTAGAACTCTCATACCTTACCCTTCTCTGTTCTTCAATGTTTTCTTCCAATTTTTAAAATATCTCTGCAGAGAAAGTTTTTTTTCCCTTTAAGTGGTGTGTACATAGCAGCAGTTGGGATGCTGTGTAGAAGTGTAAGTACTTATACTGTCTTTTTCAAATTGTGCATCAATCAGCTTTACAGCCTTGCTGACTATGCTCTGTTTTCATAAGGAATCAAAACTTTAGCATTAAAGAAACCACTGTTTTTTTTTATTTTAAACCAAATACACATCAGGTATATAATTGCCGTATCAGTAATTGGGTAAAGTATTTAAATTTGTGTCATGACCAGTTAACTGCTAGAACTTGAGACTGACACTGCAGTCCTCCAACTACAGTAATAACAACACCATCCAGGACAAAGTAGCCCCTTTTGATTGGCATCCTAACCACCATGTTAAATATTCATTGCTTTCACCACTGCACAGTTGCTGCAGTGTGTAGCATTTACAAGACACACTGCAGTCACTTGCCAAGTCTCCTTCAATAGCACCTAACAAACCTACAACCTCTACCTAGAAGTACAAGGGCAGCAGTTATATAGGAACAGCACCACTTGTAAGTTCTCCTCTAAGCCATACACTATCCTGACCAGGAAATCTAGCAATGATACTTTGCTGTCGCTGGATCAAAATCATGTAAGACACCTTCCAGACAGCATCACACACACACACCTTTTAACATTCTTAAGATTCAAACATCTCCTATCTTTTCAAGGTGGTCTTCTCCATCTGGGTTCCCTTACTCCTGGTTCAATTTTCACTCAATCTGCTCTTTACAGTGTTTTAAATAACATTATATGAACATAACAATAATTGTTATCGCTTAGATTCAAGGAACTTCATTTGATAACACTTTTCTTTTAAAAGAAATTTTCCATACTGATCAACCCTTGCATTTTAGCAGTTCCATTTAGTCATTGTGTAAATGCTATAAATCTTTGCACATAAAACGTAATATTTGTTTTTTTTTTCTATTTCTGCTTTTCATGATGATGTATTTACCGGGGTTACTATTTGATAGCTAACTTGGTGTAATGGTGCATGTCACAGTTGGTTTGGAGTCTGAACCGCTGTAACAACGTGCACTTGTTGCAGTCTGAAGCTATGGATAGTGATAGTAAAGGCTTCAATGTTCTTCCCATCACATGGCTTCCTGCTCTTACCCACCTCCACTGGCATATGTTGGAAGAACTTCAGGTTGATACTCAATCTGTTTGGCCATGTTATGAACTCGCCTTTCTCAGCCATCAAGACATGGAGTGGGACTTGAACCTTGATCTTCTGCCTCAGAGGCATAGGCTCTACCCATTGCATTCAAGACCTGATCCAAAACAGCATATTTGTTGTCTACTACTATCAGTCTTTAAAATGTTGCAGTTGAAGCGTGCTGACGATCATTAATTTAAATCTATATTAAAAATAATACGTGTATCAACATTCAAGTATTTATGATAAAAGCCAAAATATTTAGCTATCAAATATTTTGGTCCTAGACTTTGGATTTGTTTATCTCTGTCTCTAACTTCTTATTTTTAGTTAATTAATTTGTTTCTTCAGCGCTTTCCTCCACTGTTTTGCAGCAACAATATGGACTTCTCAAAATAACAAACAGTGCTTCATCAGTTTTTATTTGCAATGACCCTTACAGGAATTTAGGCAGAAAAATTGATCTCCTCTAACCCATTATTTTAATTGGAAATGCACTCAAAATGACTAATTACTCTAGGTCATCTGAAAAACAGGTGACACTATACTGGCCTCTGTTGAGCTGCAGACATCTGGGATGGCCAACGAAAACAAGTGTTAGACAACTCTCACGAATAAATGAAGGTGGTGATTATTTTTGGAGGAAGCAGTAGCATTGTGATAACGTCACTAGGCTAGTAATCCAGAAGGCCATGCTAATGCTCTGGGAACACTCGTTTCAAATCCTGCCACACAGTAACTGATGAAATTTAAATTCAATTAATCTGGAACTGAAAGCAAGTCTTTGTAATGTTTCTATGAAACTATCATCAATTGTTCCAAAAATTCATCTGATTCACTGATGTCCTTCAGGGAAGGAAATCTGCCAACTTTACCTTGTCTGGGCTACATGTGACACCAGATTTGCATGCGTGTGGTTGACTCTTAACTGCCCTCTGAAATTGCCTTGCAAGCCCTTCAGTTCAAGGGCATCTAGGGATGGGTGACAAAGAGAGGACGTGTCTTCTTTTAAAGAGTTGTCATTTTAAATTACTTTATAATATCATAGCTGTCCTGTTTTCTCCCTTCTTCCTTTCTTGAAAATGTTGACATGTTTTTAGCTCTTGGAATGTACCATGTGAAACATGACAACTTTGGTGTATTGCCCAAACAGTTATTGTCCAAAATTGGTGAGTCTTAACAAGCTATTTTGCTGTAAATAACACCTCAATTGAAACTGATCTTATCTGAATGAAAAAGCCACACATGCATGGGTCAGTTTTCAAGCCAAGGTGACTGGATGTGGATGGTGATGTGAATGAGGAATAGGAATTGTCCAGAACTTTCCATTGTCGTGTTGTGTATTGACCAGTGAAAAAATCTCATTAACTGCTTTGACATATTATCAGCTGAGTCAGGACTGCCTGAGAAATGAACCTCAGAACTTCTGATCTGTGTAGCTCAATCCCATGTTGGCTTTGCATGGATCAGAGACTCTAGTGCTAGTCTTTTTAGTAATTTCTGCAGTCAATGTATTTTAGAAAATTGCTCTTCTATGAAATAGGCAAAACTCTGAACACTGATATAATAACTAAATCCCGTGTGTTTTATATTATCTTTTAGAAATCATTAATAATCAATGTGTTTGGCTGCATTGTGAATGCAACTTCAGTTGCCATTAAGTCCCGGAGTGGGACTCCATACTGGAAATTTCTGGCTCAGAGTCATGGATCCTACACATTATGCCACAACACCTTGGGTAGACTACCAGAGTAGCACAGATACAAAAAGGTGTTAAAGCCCTCATCCATCTGGGACCCTACCCCTCTCATCGACTAGAGACTTTACCACCCTCACTCAACTGCCAAATTATCCCCTCACCTACATGGCACCTTACTCCTCTCACCCACTTTGCTCCCTACCCCTCATCCTTCTGCCACGCAAGCACAATATCCCCTACCCACCTGGCACCCTGATCCCTTGCCCATCTGGCATCCAAACCCACCTCTTGCCTTACCCACCTGGCACCCCAACCCCACACATACATGTTTTTTTAACCTTTCACTATAGCTTTAAAGTGGCTGTTGAACATTTAATCTTGGAATATTACACAGCTACTACTGTAACAAGAGGCATGGTTACCATGCTAATTCTTTCTATTGCTGGCTGCGAGGATTGCTGGACAGATTTCTGGAGGCTCCTGTTCAGTTATGTCCAGGGCAGAATTCATCAAACCCTAAGTGTGCATTTGTTGTGTCTGATCAGGATCAGAAATAGGGTTTTTGACCCTGATTGGAATTTCTGTGTGAATGCTTCGGGCTTGCTGACCTTACAGGACTAGATTTGGATGGTATTGTAGCTAACATTAATATGGTGGCCATAGTCTCTTGAATTTCACTGGTACTGTTTCCGAAGCACTCACAAATAATTTTTATTTAAATGATACCTATGCACATGCTAAACATTTTAGAATTTCCAAGTTGCATGATTCCCTGTGCTGATTAAGAGATAAATATTAGCCAAGTCCCGGAGAACTTTTGACATCTTAATTGAGGGTAGAAGATATTTTACATCCTAACAGGCATTTGGGGCCCAAACATACAGAAGGATGCATCGCAGAGAATAAGTAAAAAGCAAAATATGGATATTTAAACTCAGTTTGCTGATTATGGAACAACGTGTTGAAACGTCTTTTTATCTTGTTTTACGCCCAGAATCAGTGGCACAAACCATTCTTGAAGTTGCTGAAATGACTCTCTTTTTCCCTTTCAGGTCTGGAGCTCCCTTTCATGATGATGCCTCATCCACTCATTCCCGTCAGCCTACCTCCTGCCTCTGTTACCATGGCTATGAGCCAGATGAACCACCTTACCACTATCGCTAATATGGCAGCCGCAGCTCAAGTACAAAGTCCCCCTTCCAGGATGGAAACCTCAGTTATTAAGGTAAATACTCTGCAGCTACAATTGTATCAATGACTAATCAGTGCCAACTTTTTGTATTGTCATATTGCTCTGGGCAATATCTTAGAATACGCTAAGGTGTTACAAGGAATAGTGTCCAAACCTACTTGATTTCATGAACTTTGTATAGCTATTCCTAATTGCTTGAGTAGGTTGGTTATTCAGGATCTATTTTCCAGAACCTGGGAAATTTTAGGGAGCAATGATTGGATACAAGTACATTTTTTGCACATTCACTGCTGCTTTTTCTCTCAATGGAGAAAATGGCAGCAAAAATTACCCTTGAATTTCGAAAGCCACTGAGTTGGTTCCCTGCATTGATTTAACAACAAGTATCAATCGTACAGGAGGACCTCAGGTTACACCTGATTCACCATCCTGACCATGGAACACCCGGCCTTGGAACTTCTGGCCTCGGAACTTCTGACCTCTGAACTTCTGGCCTCTGAACTTCTGGCCTCAGAACTCCTGGCCTCTGAACTCCTGGCCTCTGTGCAGAATGGACGAGGCATCCTCGTAGTGGCGTAGTGGCCTAGTGCGACGGCCTGCCAGCCCAGCGTGGTGGTCTCTCAGGCTGGCATGGCGGCCTCTCAGCCCAGCATCGTGATCTCTCAGAGGCCCAGTGTGGTGGTCTCACAGGCCAGCGTGGTGGTCTTCTGGCAGTACGAGGTGGTCTCTCGGCATGGCATGGCCTCAGCATGGACTGTTGGCCTTGAGCTGATTCCAGAGCGATCTCCTGGCCTCATGAACCCTGAGGTGAAGCCTGAAGATTCCTAAAATCTGCAATACTGGACTTTTTATTTCTCTATTTTTTTGAAAGACTGTAACTAATGAAGTTGTACCTTGGGACCTTTGTACCTAAGATGGCACCATAAATGGCTACTTGTACTTTTTTCACTGTACTTATTCGAGTACATACGACAACAAAGCTAATTCAAATTCTAAATTGAAAATGCAATAACTTGGACACACTGCACTGGAGCATCAGATCCATGGAGCTACATATTGGATGTTGATATGCAACATTTCCGTTTTAATTTTGATGGAGCCCACACTGCAACATATTGTGCCATGGGTATGCAGAGTGTAAGCACGTATCGAATGAGAATGGTGAATGTGCAGTATTATGTAATATGTAAATACACAGTGACTAATAATGGATCGTTCCACAAGTGAATAAGACTTTCATATCCCATATGAGTTTGTCACTTTTATGATTAATGAGTCATTTATTACTTGCAGAATAAACTGTATTAATTCACTGTAACACAGGAATGCAGTGGTGCTGTATTGCTTGGGGCATAATAAAATAATACAAGGATTTGATCCAAAAGCATTGGGGTTGATTTTAACCCCAGCTTTCTTGTGTGAATCTGATGGAAGAGGTGTGAGCGGTTAAAATCAACCGGGCACCTCATTAGCTCATATTCCACCCAAATCAGTTGATCTATTCTCTTGACCAAGCAGGAAGTGCATCTGAGTTTGGCAAGCCCTTTCTTTACAAGTGCACATTGAGGTGTGCATGCCATCAAGTCCTAAGGCAATTTTGAGTTCATCCAGAGCTTGGAACTGATAGGCCATGGACTTGAAATGGACTGGATTTTCTGTTTGAAGTCAGGAGCTCAATGTTAGAGTCAAATGTGGCTCCTGATCCCACACTTTATCAGGAACACTTATCCAAATGGATTTTTGGTGAGTAGTCCATACAATGACTGGAGAGCATGAACTCTGTCCAACAAAGAATGGTAGGTGGCTTCCTGAGAGTGTAAAGACAGTAGGAGACCTTCAGAAGTGTCATGGAAGTGCTTGTTGAAGACCCAGTTTAATAACAAAATCATTTGAACAATAGTCACAGATACTGGACGATGGAGAGGCAGTTCTCCATTTCATGGCCAGGGGCTACTGCATGTGAATATGGTGTGGAGATATTGCCAGTGGAATGAAGTACTGCCCCCACACAAACTACTCCATCTGCAACACACCCCTCCATACCTGCCCACCCAACAGCCCAGGAGGCTATTGCCTTTGGGTGGAGATGTGAATATTGGGTCCAGCTGCAGACTGGAATTATCTAATCCACGGGAGGTCTGAACCTTAATAGACCTCCTTCATTATCTTGATTTGCCTGGTTACGTCCTTGACTTTGCCTTCCCTGTTCAAAATGAATATCTATTCTCTATGTTCCTGAAAGTAGTTTTGTTATAGTGTCAGACCTCCTATCATGTAAATTGTAACTTATTTTAATAGATATTTTGTGAGAATATTGTTTCCCACCTCCTCAACTACTCTCGCCTAAATGTTTCTTTCCTCCAGACAATTTTCTTATCTCTCCTGACAGTCATCCTTCAATATTTCTCCAGTGAAATGATTACTGTGAGGGGTAATTTATATCCCACAATGTTTCAGGTGGTTGGGAAGCAGGATAAATACAAAATGCCCTCTCAGGCCTCGCCATCAGGCCACAGAAGTATTAATTCACTGGCATATTGGACTCAAAACATAAACTCTGTTTCTCTGTACCAGACCTGCTAAGTTTCTCTTACATTTTCATTTTCTATTTCAGATTCCCAGCATCTGCAGTATTTTGCTTTTATTAACAGAAAATTAAGTTTGGTCAATAAATGATGGTCTAGCCAGCATAGCTGACATCCCATAAGTGAATAAGAAAAAAAGCAAGAATGATTATCATCCAAGCTTGTTTTCAAATCGTAATGACCTTTCTACCTATTTTCTAGCAGCAGTGATCCAGAAATGTAATTTTAATTCCTGGACTTTGCAGGATAGTCCAGTATGGAGCAAAGGTTTAACTAGACCTTTATTCAAGGAATAGCCATTGAGCATGTTCATCAGATCACATGGAAATTAATTCTGTGTTCTGTAGGATTTTAGAGGATGCCCTCTCTCAGAATCCCTTTCATGTAGATATAGTGAATAAGATCTGTTAACAGTCACTCAGATGAGTGTAGATGTCATGTTACTACATCTGGGAAGACTAACAACATTAAGTGACACCTAGATTTACCGGAGGAGGGAAAAAATCATGGAAATAAATGTACTGGTCCTCCATTTAGAGATATACGTGTTGGACCTCTACGTCTCATTCCCCAGTTTTAGAGCTTTTTTTCCTTCTGGCTTGCATACATTTATGATGCTCCTTCCTGCTCCTAGTGTATATATAAAATGGTGGACAAAATGAAACTAGATTGATAAAAGTGTGAACAGGTCATTGTACCCCATCCTCGTTTCTTTCAGTGGGAGGTATAGTGTTCAATTGTTCAGTGTTTGATTATGAGAAACTGACAATGGATCAGTTGTCAATGTGCTTGATTGGTAGAGCCTGTTTGTTTAAGAGGACAGTAAATAGACACCACAGAAAAAGCTACCAGAAAACTGGAAGCATGAGTGCACATATATCATAAAACTCTTGCGAACAAACCTGTTGCACTCTTAGAAATTAGTGTCATCTCTGCATTGCTCTGGGATATGTAAGATGGATGTGCAGTCAAGATGTGCTGAGATGTTCCCTCAGCCCAGCTAGTTAGATTGGTGGAAGCCATGCCTCAGCATATGTGTGAATGCATGTTTACTTGTAAGGAGCAGCAAGCCAACTGCATTCTTTCTAATCTGGAGGTTCTTCACCAACATTCCAGTTTAGCAACCTCGGCACATGGCTAGGACCATTCTACTTGCTGTCGGTAATACATGCAGCATATCCATTGTTTTGTTAATATTTTGAACTTTGCATTAATATTGAGTAGTTTTAACAATATTTGGATTTACAGAGAATCAGTCGCTGGACACAGGAATCACAATTGGTTACCTGGTTTCAAAATGCACTCAAATCTGCGCTTGTTTTCCAGAGTGAATTTACAATTCTACCCAAGCCTAATTACATTATCACACAACACAATAATCTATAAACCAGTGAAATGGGGAGTCCATTAAATGCATTTTTTCCCTTGCATTAAAAGATATTGCTTGATGTATTTTATAGTTGTAGTCTAGTGCTGTTTTGTTAATATAGCCGAGATTGGGTTCATCATAAAGTGCCAATGTTCCAGCAGAGTTTAAAATAGCTACAACTTTTAAAAAGCTTTGGGCAGTTTTAAAGCAAATTGCCGAATGGAAACTGCAGAATTCGTAATAAGGAAAGTATAGACGTTAGTCAACAAGGCCACACATACAAAATCCAAAACAAATATCTTTTGTTAGAAATGATTCTGTGATTAAGCAGGACTTGCTGAAAAACCCTGGGTGTGCTAATAGCAGAAGTAATAACCAATTTCTGATATTCAGTTGAGCTCGTAACATGGCTTATTTATGCTTGCTAGAAACAACATGCATTCATGCTTGTGGATCTATTCTCTGCAAACAAGGGAATATATTCAAATTTTATGCCTTATTTGAATTACCCAGGATCTTGGGTGTCCTAAAACTCTTTGAATCCACACCAAGGCAAGGAAACAGAAGCTACCTCTGGAGCAGGCAGGTTGAAAGGATACCTGTGAAAGGGTGTTCCTATGTCTAAGACAGTAATATTGCTGCTTCTAAACCATTGGTTCAGTGTATCAACAACAACTGCAGTTTTCCTAATAAGTTCCTGCCTGCCCTTTTCCCAAACTCCGCATTTCGGAGAACATTGCTGTGCATCCTCTATGTTGGATATTTAAGACAATCCTTTGGTGTAGCACATTGCTAATAACTCTCCCTTTGTATTACATGCACTATCACCGGTATGTCCCTTCCTATCGCATTCACAAACGCTTCTATGCTTTCCTCATTGTATACCATTCTAAATAAAAACTAACTTCAATCATGCCTCTGACCTTCATAATGTTTTCATCTTTTCTGATTTGCCTCTGATTTGATGCACCTATGAATGTACAAAGATGTGATATATAAGAAATAGGCTTTTTGACCCTGTCAGCTTGCTCCACTATTTGATAAGATCATGGCATGCCTGTTTGAGTTATGAATTCCATGTTACCATTTACCCATGATTAACTTTGATTCCCTTGCCTAAAAAGAATATCCCGACCTTCAGTTTAAAAATATTACAGCACTTCCTCTGCATTCTGAGGCCAGCAGCTCCAAAGTCACACAACCCTCTCAGAGAATTTTCTTTTCCCCTCTGCCCATTTTACTTTTCCTGCCAAAGTGAACATTTTCCCACATTATTGTCCATCTGTCAAATTTTGCCCATTCATTCAATGTATCTATATTAGACTGCAACCACATTATGAACTTCTTCACAACATTCTTCCCTACCTATCTTAGTGTTAACTACAAATTTATCAACCATACTTTTGCTCCCCTCATCTAAGTCATTAAGGTAAATTGTGAAAAGTTGATGGCATGGTACAGACTCCTGTCGGTATCTATTTGTTACATTGTGTCAAACTAAGATTCATTTGTGTATACCCTTAGTTTTCAGTGAGCCAACCAATCTACTATCCATGCTAATATGCAATGCCCATAGCTATAAGCTTTTATTTTCAGAAATAATTTTTGATGTTACCCCTTATCAAATGCCTTCGGCAAATTCAATTCCAGTACATCTACTGGCTCCCCTTTATTCACAGCACATATTATTCCTTTAAAGAACGCTTTAAAAAAAGGTTCAACATGATTTACCTTTCACAAAACTATGTTCACTCTTCCCATTTACCTTACGTTATTTCTAAGTGTCCAGCTATAACTGCTTTAATGATTGATTCTAATAGTTTCTCCATGACAGATGCCAAGCTAGCAGATCTATAGTTTCTTGTTGTCTTCCTCCCTCCCTTCTTGAATATTTGCATTATATTTCATACTTTCCAGTCAAATGGAACCCTTTCTGAATTTATGAGATCTTAGAAAATTAATGCCTATGCATCTTCTATCTCAGTCACAAACCTTTTTAAGACCAAAGAATGAAATTCATCATGACCTGAAGAGTTGTCAGCTTGTATCGCCATCAGTGTGCGTAGTACCACTTACACCATGACTTGCAGTTTCTCTATGCTCCTCTTCCTTTCCAACGCCTGATTCACTGTTATTACTGGAATATTTATGTATCCTGGATCATAGAATCCCTACAGTGTGGAAACAAGTCCACTCCGACCCTCAGAGCATCCCACCCAGACCCATCCTCCTGTAACCCAACTAACCTACACATCCCTGAACACTACAGGCAATTTAGTATGGCCAATCCACCTAGCCTGCACACCTTTGGGCTGTGGGAGGAAACCAGAGCACCCGGAAGAAACCCACACAGACTCGGTGAGAATGTGCAAACTCCACACAGACAGTCACCCGAGGGTGGAATTGAACCTGGTCCCTGGCGTTGTGAGGCAGCAGTGCTAACCACTGAGCCACCTTGCCGCCAATTGTTTCTTCTAGCCTTTTAGCACTTGTCACCATAAGTTTTTAGGCTTCTCATGACAAACCAGAGATTAATAGTGTCTGCTTTCCATTTGAATGTCATCATGGTTAGAAAACTCATGAGGGTCATTCTTCAAAACTCAAGTGCTGCTCTATCCTGAAGGTAGAAGCAAAATATATGTTTATTTAATCTGTTATTTCCTTATTATTTACTAAAAACCTCCTCATTCTTGTTTTCTAGAGGACCAGCATTTGCTTAACTTATTCTTAAAAATCTGTCGAAACATTTCCTATCTGTTTTTACATTTCTAGCTAACTTTCTCCCATACTTTAATCTCTTTCTGCTGATTAATCTTTTGGTCACTCTTTACTGTTCATGCATTTTATAACCAGTCATCTGATCCATCACTCTTTTCTTCATGCACATACATGTTTTCCTTAATTTTGAGGCTTTGCCTAATGTTAATAGTTAACTATGGATGGTGGGTCTCCCTTTAGAATCTTTCTTTATGGTTGAACTGTAAGAAATATCCCTTTAAATGTCTGCCACTGCATCTCTTTTGATCTATTTCCTAGCCCAGTATGCCAGTTCACTTCAGCTAACTCAGCTTTCATGCTCACATGGTTGCTGTTCTTTAGGTTTGATGTGCTAGTCTTAGACCCATACTTCTCCTTTTCAATCTGAACATAAAATTCAATCATAATATGATTGCTGCAACCTAAAAGTTCATTTACGCTGCGGTCATTAATCCTATCACATTACACAATGCTAAGTTTAATGTGAGCTGCTGTCTGATCAGCCACAAAATGTTCTGCTGTAAGAAACTATTGTGAAAGTATTCCATGAATTCCTGATCTAAGCTACCACTGCCCATTACACATTTCTGGTTTGTATCTAGATTAACGTCACCCATAAATAGTGTTGTCTCTTTGTCACAATATCCCAATATTTCTTAAATGCTTTGACCCACATTGTGATTAGTGTTGGAGGATCTGTAGACAACTTCGACCAAACTAATAATCCTCATTTCCACCCAAACTGTTTTTACATTCTGATCTCCTGAACCAAAGCCACCACTAATTTATTGCACCAATGCCATATTTAATCATGAGTGCTATACCTGCACCTTTACTTAGCTTCCTATTCTTCTTAAATGTCACATAAACCTCAATATTCAGATCCAATCTTTGACATCCTGCAGTCATGATTCCAAAGTAGCTATCAGGTCATATTTATTCACCTTAATGTACATTACCAATCATTTAATTTGTTATGAATGCAACATGCTTTCAGAAACAGTGCCATTAATTTTGTCTTTTTGTTAGCTTTGTAATCTAGTCTTGGTGTTGGTGCATTGTGAAAATTTTTGCCTTGTCTCTACTCTTTAATGTACGACATTTTCCCAGGTTTGGTCCCTTGCCCTCCGTATTTAGTTTAAAGCTTTATCTACTTCCCTAATTGTGCAGTTCGCAAGAACACTAGCTCCAGTATGATTTAAACGTAAACCATCCCAATGGTACAACCCGCACTTTCCAGTACTAGTGCCAGTGACCTGTGAACCAGAGCCCATTTCTTTCACACCAGAGTTTGAGCCAGATATCATCTCTCTCTAACTGTATGTACTCTAAACCAATTTGTGCAAACTAATCTGGCGCCTACCTCCTATGCTCTCTAGTCAGACCATCTTGCCTAATTCTACCTATGATGTTGGTCTATACATGAACAATGACAATTGGATTCACTGCAAGTTCCTGTCCAGTCCTGAACAGAACTCTAGTGTTTTTTTTTCAAAATCAAATTCTACCATCCACAGTGATGAGATTAAAACTGCATCCTTAGAGCGTTGCCTAGGTTCCTGGATTACTAATGCAATGACAATATGTCATTGCCTCCCCTTGGATGGTTTGATTTTTATGTTTGCAGAGGAAAGAGGGGCTTTTATGTTGAGCAAATGTCCAAGAATGGTTTCACATTGCTGGGTATTGGCAACTAGTTTTTTCTAAGCTGATCATAATGTCTCCCAGACATGCATCATATGTTTTGATCATAGACATGCACCTGCCATAGAGGGGTATGGATGCACCATACACAATTTTGCCTTAACATTGCCTATAGTTTAGTTGTAACTAGTATGAAGTAGTTATTTGTGACAATAACAAATTAAAGGGCATTTGGACACCAAGAGATCAATCCATTGCAAAATGTACTTTGTCTGCCCAGTGTGAAGCTGTAGTAATTGTCTGTGTACTTATAAGGTGACAATGCCAGTATCAAATTGGCATCTGTAGTCTAATAATATTGGGCTCTAACCATTTAAATGACATTTCCCTGTGGCTTCAGATTTGATGTCATCTGAACCCTATGATTGGATATAATTCCATTCAAGTATCGTAATTTTATCACTGTTATTTTGTTACCATTCTCTTGCATCAGTTTCTTCCCCTTTCAGACCTTAAAAGTTTTTCCTGAAGTTCTGATGGAACATCTGTTTTGTTCACCTCATCCTTGTTTAATCTTTTGTTCCTGTCATTTGTAGGAACGTGTACCTGACAGCCCCTCACCTGCCCCATCCCTGGAAGATGGCCGTCGGCCAGGGAGCCATCCTTCTTCCCATCGGAGTAGCAGTGTGTCGAGTTCACCTGCTCGGACTGAGAGCTCCTCTGACAGAATCCGTGAGTTCCTTTACCATCAGTTTCGACTTTAATTTTTTCATCTGTCTAAATTATTTTTTAAATATTCAAATGCAGTATTTAGGTTTAAAGGCAAACATGAAGAAAGAGCATCACAAGAAAACAAAAGGTGAATGAGAATACAAATTCTGAAGCAATATATAACGTTATTTTGCAATACAATATGACTGGAAATGAGATGCAGGGCTGGATGAACACAGCAGGCCAAGCAGCATCATAGGAGCAGAAAGGCTGACGTTTCGGGCCTAGACCCTTCATCAGAAAAGGGGGAGGGGAAGGGGGTTCTGAAATAAATAGGGAGAGAGTGGGAGGCGGATAGAAGATGGATAGAGGAGAGGATAGGTGGAGAGGAAACAAACAGGTCGAAGAGGCGGGGATGGAGCCAGTAAAGGTGAGTGTAGGTGGGGAGTTAGGGAGGGGATAGGTCAGTCCAGGGAGGACGGGCAGGTCAAGGGGGCGGGATGAGGTTAGCAGGTAGAAGATAGGGGTGCGGCTTGTGGTGGGAGGAGGGGATAGATGGGAGGAAGAACAGGTTAGGGAGGCGGGGACGAGCTGGACTGGTTTTGGGATGCGGTAGGGGGAGGAGAGATTTTGAAGCTTGTGAAATCCACATTGATACCATTGGGCTGCAGGGTTCCCAAACGGAATATGAGTCGCTGTTCCTGCAACCTTCAGGTGGCATCGTTGTGGCACTGCAGGAGGCCCAGGATGGACATGTCGTCTGAGGAATGGGAGGGGGAGTTGAAATGGTTCGCGACTGGGAGGTGCAGTTGTTTATTGCGAACCGAGAGTAGGTGTTCTGCAAAGCGGCCCCCGAGCCTCCGTTTGGTTTCCCCGATGTAGAGGAGGCCACACCGGATACAGCGGATGCAGTATACCACATTGGCAGATGTGCAGGTGAACATCTGCTTGATGTGGAAAGTCTTCTTGGGGCCTGGGATGGGGGTGAGGGAGGAGGTATGGGGGCAGGTGTAGCACTTCCTGCGGTTGCAGGGAAAAGTGCCGGGTGTGGTGGGGCTGGAGGGGAGTGTGGAGCGGACAAGGGAGTCACGGAGAGAGTTGTCCCTCCGGAAAGCAGATAAGGGTGGGGAGGGAAAGATGTCTTTGGTGGTGGGGTCGGATTGCAGATGGCGGAAGTGTCGGAGGATGATGCGTTGGATCCGGAGGTTGGTGGGGTGGTACGTGAGGACGAGGGGGATTCTTTTTTGGTT